GGGGGTGGTGGGTTTGGGGGGGGGGGGGGAGGGGAGTCGCCCCTCCTTTCTGCCTCTGGCCACGGCAGCTCCTCCCAAGTTGGGTACCAAGTGGGCATGGTCCCCCACCGTGGACACCTGCTGGCAAATGAAACCAAGCCTCTCCTTCTTTGGGGTCTTAACTCATTATTAGCTGGGATGTATGCTGCACCACTGACCTCTACTGGGTGGAGTGGGAACTGCTTGGCTGTGTGTCATAGTCCCTGCACTGCCAGGGGGGTGATTCTTCTTTAGCTCAAATGGCAGGAGCCTGTCCTGGAGCAGGGAGCTCCCCGCTCTATCCCAAATGTTACTGTGCAGTTCCCAGCTGATGCTGGCCATTGGGGAGAGTCTAGACCATGAGAGGCTCTGTGCGATGTTTGGTCCTTCCATTTCGAACTCTCAGGAACAGTCTTGCACTGTTAACGTGGGGGTTGTCTGGGCTCCGTTACCCTCGTTTCACAGGTAGCTGAACGTTTGCCGAGGGGCTTAAGTGACTTGCTCACATTTGTGTGAGCAGCAGCAGGATTAGAACCCTGTTCCCAGCATCCTGCTCAGTTGCTTCCTCCTGGCCCTGTTTTCTGTTTCCCTCTCATGCCGGGAAAGAAGAGTAAAACCTGCAGCTGTTTTTTTGCATGGGCTCCTGGCAGCTCCAATTGTTCTGGGCTCCGTGAGCAGCGCGGGATGGTGCTGCCAGTATCATACCCTGTGCCAGTGGGGTTTGAGTTGTACCTAGCTGTGGTCACAGCCCAGGAGGGGAGCGTATGGGGATGGGAGAGGGCGGGTGAGAGGGTATTTTGCATCTTTATTTTTTTTCTTTTGGTGTATGAGAAGTCAGTGGTGACAAAAGGTCCCAGGACAGGTGCAACATAAACATTGGCAGTGCCAGCTTCCCCAGTGCTGACCAGGCAGGATGTACCACGAGGTGTAAGAAGTACAAAGAAGGGCCATTAGGATGATCCGAGGAATGGGAAACCTGTCTTATGAAAGGAGACTCAAGGAGCTTGGCTTGTTTACCTTAACCAAAAGAAGGCTGAGGGGGGACAGGATTGCTCTCTTTAAATACATTAGAGGGATAAATACCAGAGAGGGAGAGGAATTATTTAAGCTTAATACCAATGTGGACACAAGAACAAATGGATATAAGCTGGCTAGTAGGAAGTTTAGACTTGAGATTAGACGAAGGTTTCTAACCATTAGAGGAGTGAGGTTCTGGAACAGCCTTCCAAGGGAAGTAGTGGGGGCAAAAGATCTATCTGGTTTCAAGATTAAACTAGATGGGTTTATGAAGGGGATGGTTTGATGAGATAACATGATCTTGGTAACTAATTGACCATTCATTATCAGTGGGAAATAGGTCAATGGAGGGAAGATAGGAGTTACTATAGAGAACTTTCTGGGTGTCTGGCTGATGAGTCTTGCCCACATGCTCAGGGTTTAGCTGATCGCCATATTTGAGGTCGGGAAAGAATTTTCCTCCAGGGTAGATTGGCAGAGGCCCTGGAGGTTTTTCGCCTTCCTCTGTAGCATGGGGTACAGATCACAGCTAGAGGAGAGTCTGCATCTTGGGGTCTTCAAAGTATTTGAAGGCTTCAATATCTGAGATATAGGTGAGAGGATTATTCTAGGAGGGGTGGGTGAGATTCTGTGGCCTGCACTGTGCAGGGGGTCAGACTAGATGACCATAATGGTCCCTTCTGAC